GGAGGATTTCTATACCTGGAGAGATGGAAGAGGTGATGGGAAAGGTAGTCTTCATAAGTCAAATTCCAGGTTCCCACATACCAAGTATTTTCATTTTAGGCAGTAAATTTGTGCTTTCAGAAACCCATCAGGGAACATCCGTGTGGGTCCCTAAGAAGGCTAAGGAATGTCCAGGAAGGCCCCTGGCCACCTGGTGCCTGGCCCAGCCACATCATAGACACAGTCTTTACCACGTGGTGCCCCTGTCCAGTAGTAATCATGGCCAGAGATGGTCCTGGAGTCAGGCCAGTAAGCTAAGATTCACCTTTGCCCCAAGAGAACAGGGCCAGGGAAGCAAGAGAAGAGCTAGGGACAGTGTTCATTTTCTTTATAATTAACAGCCCAATGCATAATCAGTCAGTGTTGATCTCCTTGAAATCCACCCCAGGCTCTCAAACTCTTGAGTGCAATCCCTAGTTCTTCTGTCAGCTTTGGGGACTGTCCATGACCTGGTCCCTCTGCAGGCCTTTTTCATTTTCCCCAGTCCCCACACCTTGTACTTTCCACTACACACATTCAATTGTTCTTTTTGCCAGTCACTGTCATGCTTCCATAACTTTGCACCTGCTCTTTCCTCTCTGGAAAGCCGACATGGCAGACACCAGGCCAAGCTCTAGTTGGTTTCCTGAGATGGATAAAACATTCCTTGGGGGAAGATGAGACAGGGATCTAACTCCCTACAGAACGGAGTCAACTGTTCACAAGATCAAAGGAAGGACACAAACAGCACCACATATGCTCACTTGCTGCTGGAGGTATCCAAAAGCTTCTGTAAGGGAGTGAATCTACAAGGGCCATTTGCACAGGTTTGACCACAGGAAATAGATAGGAGGCATTCTAGACAGAAGGAAGCCAGAGTGATAGGAGCACACAGGACAGAGGTGGGGAATGAGACTTGGGAGTAGAAGGACCAGACCCACCTCTTTCCATATAAGCCTGCATTGGTGCATTTAGCTGTGGGTCTCCAAAAGTAAACAGTTCAGGTCTAATGCTAGAACATTCTGCTAATGAGAACTTTACTGTGAACTTCAGGCCTTGGTTGGCTGGGCCAGTGGTTGCCTTGTATGTCCCTTACTAGCCTAAGGGCAGTTCAACAAGAAGAGCTTTAGGTTTTGTTCTGAAGAGCAAGAGATGTGCTGGAAGGATCCCGCAGGAGTGGAGTGAACAACTTAACACAAGACCACAAGCCTCTGGCTGTGGATGCACAGGCAGCTCTCGGTGGGACAGAAGTCAGGAAACCCAGGAAAAAAGAACACCTCGGTCATCCCTACAAGAAGAGACCTAGTGTAGAGTGGACACTAACAGCGTGGGAGAAGGAGAAAGCAGGGAGAGAAGTGAGAGTAAGGAGAGGAGGAGGAAAGAAGGGATAAAACAGGTGGGCAAAAAGGAAGAAAGGAGTAGATGTGGAGAAAGAGAAAAAGAAAGGAGACAGACATGGACCCACCCAAGCAGAGACCCGGACACAGGACAGCAGAACACGCAAGAACCACCCAAGGAACGCATGTGAGATACACACAAACCAATCCTCCCACCAACCACCCAACCGGTCCCAACCCCCACGCAAGCAACAGGAAAGCCAGCTCTGGGGCCCGACAGGAATGGGGCAGAACATGCCTCCCCAGACACGGGGCTGCAGGTCTTCAGGACCTCCGGGTGACGGGCAGCCCCACGGCCCTGCCTCCTTGTCCTGGCCCAGCCCCAAAGCCCTCCCCACCATGCCCTCGCCTCGAGAAAGGGGCCCTCTCTCGCTGACTCTCTGGCTCTGGCTCTCTGACCCCATATCTGGAAGTCTGTCTCTCCCCGCGTGCCTGTGGGTTTGCTCGTGTGGGACGATGGTGTGTCCGTGTGTTTGGCTGGGGCTGTGTGTGCGTGTGCGTGTGTGCGCGCGCGCGCGGGAGAGCTCACGTCGCTGGCATGCCTGTCAGTCTCCCCCTGTCCCCACAAGAACAGGTGCCAGGGCGAGGGGAGGCAACAGCGCCCCGCAGCCCGCTGGGGTCCTTGTGGTGGTGGAGGGTTACCTGCGGTGCGCGGGGAGCGGCGGGGATATAAGGGACTGGGCCGGGATGCGCAGCGGCCCGCCCCCTTGAGGCGTCCGTGGCTGCCCACCACCCTCTACGGCCACAGCACCCTGAATGGGCGGGCTTGGAGGGTGAGGGCAGAAAAGGAGCGCCCCTCCCCAGGCCAGTGACTGAAGAAGAGGCAAAAAGCCTACAGCACCCGGTATTCCCAGGCGGTCTCCCATCCAAGTACTAACCAGGCCCGACCCTGCTTAGCTTCCGAGATCAGACGAGATCGGGCGCGTTCAGGGTGGTATGGCCGTAGACACTAGCGGGCGCTCCTGAACGCCTCAAGAATCTCTGCTGCTACGTCCTGGCCAGGCCCGCCCACCGCCCGGCGCCTGCGCTAACCCGGGTCCTCGCGTTCCGGCCCAAGGGCCACAAGGCGGGAGCGGGCTGCTCCCCAACACGGTGCGCCCTCACGCCGCCAGGCGCCGCACTGCCCCGCCGCAGGGCGGGCGCCAGAAGCCTCGGTCACGCCGGGGGCGGCCTCCCCGCCTCTCTCCCACCCCTGGACGCTGCGGGCCCTCCCCACGCCCGACCGACTCCCGTCAGCCTAACTAAAACAGGATGCCCCACTGTCACTTGTGGTCCCTTTGCTTTTCTTCATGGCATTTACCTGTATTTGTTTTCTTATTTGAGTTCCCCACTAATATGTCTGTTTTATTCACTGTTTTTTCCCCCAGTGTTCAGCCTCGTGACTTCTTACACATGATAGGTGACCAAGAAATATTTATTGAAATTATTTTTTTATGTCAATGGAATCTTATTTGTACCTTTTATTGTTCTGCAATCAGCTTATAAACAGAAACCATGTAGCAGTGTATCCTAAACACCTTTCCGTGCCAGAATGTAAAGATCTATCACCCTCTACTTTTTATTTTTAATTATTATGGGAATATAATAGTTGTATATCTTTACAGGGTACATGTGATATTTTGGTACAGGCATACCATGGGTAATAAACAAACCAGGATAATTGGGGTATCCATCACCTCAAGCATCCCACGAGAGGATGAATGTGTGTGGCCAGACATGTTAAAGGTTTGTAATACGTACCTTGACCACCCCAAGCAAAAGGGCTGAAATTGGCCCCTAAGGAGACTGTCGGGTATTACTGGCCAAGTTAAAGGGTGGCAGTAGGCACTCTGGCACCCCACACAAAAGGGCTGCAATTGGCCTCTTGGATAAAGTCTTGTATTGTCAGCAACTTAAAATGCCAGGACAGGACACTTGGCCACTCCAATCACATGGGCTGAAATTGCCCAATTGGTGGTGGTCAGGTATTGCCAGCGAAGTTACGAGGCCAGACAGGACCATTGGCTACCCCACCCAGAATGGCTGAAATTGGCCCCTTGAGGATGATCGGGTATTTCTGGCCAAATTAAAAGACTGAAATTGGCCGCTTGACCACCACACACAAAACAGTTTAAATTGGCCCCTTGGGCAATGGTCACCTATTTCAGGCTGTTATTGAGCTGAATGAAATAGGTCACTTGGGCTCCCCTCTCAAAAGGGCTGAAATTGGCCGCTTTGGGATGGTCGGGTATTGCTGGCCAAGTTGAAGTGCCTGAACAGGACACTTCACTGTCCCGAGCAAAAGGGCTGAAATTGGCCCTTGGGGACAGTTGGGTATTGCCAGCAAAGTTCAAGGGCCAGTAGACTGGTGGTTTCTCAGGGCTATAAGTGACAGAAAGGACAGCAAAGTGACAGTTACAGGGTATACAGAGTACAGGATTTTTCCTTGAGGTGAAGGAGGTGTTCTAAAATTGTGGTGATGGTCACACCTATCTTTGATTATTATACTAAAAACCAATTGTATGGTATCCAAAGTATATCTCAACAAAGCTTTAAAAAATAATTTTAAAAATAATTAAGGTTAGGCCGGGCGCGGTGGCTCACGCCTGTAATCCTAGCTCTTGGGAGGCCGAGGCAGGCAGATTGCTCAAGGTCAGGAGTTCAAAACCAGCCTGAGCAAGAGCAAGACCTCATCTTCACTAAAAATAGAAATAAATTACCTGGACAACTAAATATATATATATTTAGTTAATATTATATATAAATATATATAAATATTATATATAAATATTTAGTTTATATTATATAAAATTATATTTTATTATATAAAATATATTTTTTTTATATAAATATAATTAATTAGCCAACCATGTTGGCTAATTTATATATATATATATTAGCCAACATGGTTGTGCATGCCTGTAGTCCTAGCTACTCGGGAGGCTGAGGCATGAGGATCGCTTGAGCCCAGGAGTTTGAGGTTGCTGTGAGCTAGGCTGATGCCACCGTACTCTATCTAGCCCAGGCAACAGAGTGAGACTCTATCTCAAAAAAAAATAAAAACCCAGGTGATGCAGACACAGGAGTATTCACTGCACAATTTTTTCAACATCTGTCTGAAAACTTCATGTTGGGGAAAAAATGTATATAGATTGTCCCACACAATGAATAAATAAATTAATTAATTAAGCCTCAAGACTGGGCAGAAATCTGCTATCTTTTTCTTTTTTTGAGAGTCTCACTTGAGTGTCGCACCAACACTGCACTAGAGTGCAGTGGTGTCATCATAGCTCACAGCAACCTCCAATTCCTGGGCTCAAGCTATCCTCCTGCCTCAGCCTCCCAAGTAGCTGAGACTACAGGCATGTGCCACTACATCTGGCTAATTTTTGTATTTTTAGTAGAGATGGGGTCTCGTTCTTGCTCAGGCTGGTCTCAAACTCCTGACCTCAAGTGATCCCCCCACCTCAGCCTCCCAGAGTGCTAGGATTACAGGCCCTGAAATGTTTTCTTTATGCTCCCCTATATGTATATATTCTAAAGCAGGCTTCTATTACTTTTATAATACAAGAAAATTTTTTTCAGAAAGAAAAATGGCACAAAAAGTCAACTGATAAAATAGTCATTTATTCAGAGGGCATGATGCCAAGAAGAAACTCCCCGAGACCAGCTTGGGAACGGGAGACAACGGCTGCCCCTGCTCACTGGAATAAGGCCTTCACAACTGCCCCACCCCCAGCCTGCAGGTAAGGCCAGGGCCAGAGCTCATGGATGGCTATGGGTAGGCCTGGGTGTCCGACCTGCCCACAGGTCAGCATGTCCTGCATCCCGAGGAGCCTGAGTGTCAGGAGAGATGGCAGAGGAAGTCATGAAGAGGCAAGGCCAGGAGCCCCGACAGGGAGATCCCCAAGGTGTCAGAGATACAGGCGGCTGCCATGGCAAATTCCCGATGCTCATCACTGGTCTGGGAGGGCAGAGAACAGGGGTGAGGCTTCAGTCCCAGAGCTCCCTGCCCTGGACCTCCCCAGAGAAGCCATCCACAGCCCTTGCCTGGCGGGTACTGACCTCCAGGGCAATGTTGTGGAAGGTGTTCACGTAGGCCGCACCCCCCAGGAGCCCCTCATACAGGATGATCAGGAAAACGAGGTAGATGCTGGGCAGATAGCTGAACCATACGTCCGCCAGCAGGATGGCTAGGTTGAGGCACTGTGGGCACAGGCAGAGGGGAGGGCTGAGCCTAGGAGATACTGGTGGAGGAGAGGGCGGACAGGCCTGGAGAACCCCAATACCCAGCCTGGCCTGCCATACCCTGGGATCTGGGTGGCCTTCCCCCACCCCATCCTCAGCACCCTGTACTTCACAGGCCTCCTCCTGCTCCATACCTTTGCTCCCATCACTCCTACCCACCCCCTGCCTCAATGTGTTCCACCTTCCCTCCCTTGGGATCTCTCAGTCACTGTTCACAGCTCAAATTGGATCAGGGTCATTCCCGCTCCTGGGATCTTATTTCTTCCTCCCAAGAACTCCTTGAACAGAATGCCTCATTTGACCATAGTGAGACCAGTGGTTCTCAAACAGGGACAGTTTTGCTGCCCAAGGGATATATAGCAACATCTAGAGGCATTCTTGGTTGTCACAACACGAGGGGGGGGGCCTACTGACATCTAGTGGGTAGAGATCAGCAATAGCGCTAAACACCCTTTAATGCACAGGCCAGCCCCCCACAACAAAGAATTATCAGACCCCAAATGTCAAGAGTGCTGAGGTTGAGAAACTCTAGTTTGGATATTCCCATCTCTTTTAGGAAGCATCCTTGGTCCCTGACCCAAGGGGCTGGTTCCTCTCTGTGTCCCAGTCCCTTGGGGGTTCCACCATCCGGAATAAAAGAACTCTGCATTTTCTTACAGTTAGAAACATCTGAAAGCTCTGTGAGGCATGTACAAGTAATCATTAAACAACCACCCCGTGGCAGTTCACACCTTATGTACATAACAGTCACCTGGGATCTTGTTACAAATGCACCATGGAGACTTCCCCCGAGCAGAGGTGCCCCAACCTTTTTGGCACCAAGGACCAGTTTCATGGAAGACAATTTTTCCATAGACCAAGGGTGGGGGGTGGGGTGTCGTGGGTGGCAGGGAGGTGGGGCAGAGTTTAGGCGGTGATACACGGCATGTTTCCTAACAAGCCACGGGCCAGTACAGCGCTGTGGCCCCAGGGTTGGGGACCACAGCCCTAGAGGTCCTAAGTCCGTGTGTCTAAGGTAGGCTCAGAAATGTGAACTAAAAAGAACACAGCCTGGGAACACTAATGTAACCAGTGAAACACACCCAACACTTCCATCTGCAGCATTAGGCTAGGTGTTTTCTATAATGGAAATAAATGATATAAGCCCTAACTGTACAAAACAGCCTTGGTTAAAATTACAGCTAAGACTATAGTCAACAATAAGTTATGGTATACTTTAAAATAACTAGAAGAGTAGAATTTGAATGTTCCTAACACAAACAATAAATGCTTCAGGCAATGATACCCCAATTAACCTGATTTGATCAATTCACATTGTATACCTGTATCAAAACATCACATGTACCCCATAAATGTACTCATAATAATTTAAATAAAAAATTACAGCTAGGCCAGGTGTAGGGCTTACATCTGTAATCCTAGCACTCCGGGAGGCTGAGAAAGGAGGATCACTTGAGGTCAAAAGTTTAAGACCAGCCTAAGCAACAGTGAGACCCTGTCTCTACTAAAAATAGAAAAAATTAGCCAGGCAACTAAAAATTAGCAGGGCATGGTGGTGAGTGCCTGTGGTCCCAGCTACTCGAGAGGGTAAGACAGGAGGATTGCTTGCACCTGGGAGTTTGAGGTTGCTGTGAGCTATGCTGGCGCCATGGCACTCTACCCAGGGTGACTGAGCAAGACTGTCTCAAAAATATATATACATATATTTCTAGCTAAAACCATAAGCTGCGTGTTTCGGCAGCATCTAGAAGAACACTGAATTACAGAATGTCACAAGTTGGAACTTTGTTGGTACAGGCCCTGGGCTGGCAGTCCTGCTTAGATAAATAAGCAAGAAGGGCAGAGAATATTTACATTCTTTTGCCATAACATTATACTCCATACTTATTCTGTATCCTATTCTCATAGAATTGAGTTCTTTTTTTTTTTTTTTTTTTTTTTGAGACAGAGTCTCGCTTTGTTGCCCAGGCTAGAGTGAGTGCCGTGGCGTCAGCCTAGCTCACAGCAACCTCAAACTCCTGGGCTCGAGTGATCCTTCTGCCTCAGCCTCCCGGGTAGCTGGGACTACAGGCATGCGCCACCATGCCCGGCTAATTTTTTTATATATATATCAGTTGGCCAATTAATTTCTTTCTATTTATAGTAGAGACGGGGTCTCGCTCTTGCTCAGGCTGGTTTTGAACTCCTGACCTTGAGCAATCCGCCCGCCTCGGCCTCCCAAGAGCTAGGATTACAGGCGTGAGCCACAGCGCCCGGCCTAGAATTGAGTTCTTAAGTTTTAAGGGCAACGGACTTTCCTGTTATAGTTGAAGGTTTATTTTAACAGTTACCTTCAGGGACCGTGGACTTGTAACCTTGAAATGCTGTATACTGATTATGTGAATGAAACTCCCTTTGTTAACCTGTTCTAAGAAAGGGCGTTTGTGCTGTGGACTGTTTGCCGTGGGTAGTTGAATTTGCTCACCAGCTATGAAATAAAGAATCCATTGACTAGAATGTCACTGATTCTATTATAATTAACCATCCAGAATAAAAGAACTGGGCATTTTCTTACAGTTAGAAACATTATTTGAAAGCCTGTAGCTCTGCATGAGGTACATGTAAATAATCATTAAACAATGCTTCTGATGGAAACATAATACAAAATCTTGTTCATTCTTCTTCTCATCTCTATTTCTTACAGCTACCCTGAGAAATGGATGTTGGTCACGCTTGATTTACAGATGAGGCTCAGAGAGGATCAGAGATGTGCCATTAAGTCACACAGCTGCTGAGCACAGAAGCTAAAATCTGCACCCAGGTTTGCCAGGCTCCTGAAGCTACACATTTTACATGGAGCCCTGTTGGCCTTTGGTTCCCTGTGCTTAGAAATGAGAGTGTACAATGACTATTTCCCATTGAGGGAAGGAAACAGCAGGCCCTGGGAAGCTGGGAGCCAAGGTGGGAGGGAAGGAGGGAGGGAGGGGCAAGGGTTCAGTACCTGCAGCACGGCCAGAGCCCAGGTGTAGCGGATGCGACAGCAGTGGAGAGAAGAACGGGAGGCAAAGACACCAGCCTGGTACAGCATCTGATACCTGAGGTGGGGGAGGGAGGAGGAGGAAGCTCCTCTGGGCACCTGCACACACCCCCCGCCCCCAGGTGCCTACTGGGCACAGCAGCCCCTCCCAGCCCCAGGCTCCCTACACCATCAAGGGGCCCTCCCAGTCCACTGCTCCCCTCCTCCTACCAGCGGTACTGCTGAGCGTGACTCAGGGATGTGTTCCGGAAAAAGAGGAGCTCGAACTGCAGCAAAGACCAGACACAGGAGATGAACCAGGACCAGGCATGGACATGTGGGCCCCAACCCTGATTGCTCCCTCCACGGCCCCTCCCTGCACTCCTCACTCACAAGTCCCTGGTTGATGAAATACTCGGCAAAGTACACCAGGACCAAGGGGATGATGTACTGCACCAGGCTCTAGAAGAGTCAGAGGACACAAGTGGAAGTGGAAGGCCAGGAGGTGGGCACCACCCATGGGGGACACACCACAGCCACCATCCAAACCTTGAACACAGTCCACCTTTCCTGAAGGGATAGGCCTGAGCTGGACCCTGCGGGGGAACAGGAAGAGATGGGTGGATGAAGTTTACACACTGAAAGGCTCAGCAAAGGGGCGCTGGTATGCCAGAATTAACCAGCTAACACAAGAGTGAAAGCAGACTTAAACTGCCACCAGATTCTACGCTTAAAAATGGTTAAAATGGTAAACTTCATGTTATGTGCATATTTTACCACAATTAAAAACAAAGAGTTAACCAGGTGAGACCTCTTTACAGCTCTTACAGAGCTCAACAGATGTCCACCTGCCCACTCTGCCCAGCCTCACTGGCCCTTCTCTGTTTCTAGAACATCCAAGCTCATTCCCACCACAGGGCCTTGGCACTTGCTACTCCTCCAGTGACCAGAATGCCCGGCACATAGCAAGTGCTCAGTGAGTATTTCTTGAGTATGTCACTGCTTTCCCTGTAACCAGGACACCCACCCTCTTCCCTTCTTGACTATTTCCACTGTAGAGAGGAAAAGACTAAAACCCAGAGAGAGAAAGTGACCTCTCTCAGAGTCTGTGTCTCCTACCTGGCTTCGACCCTGAGGCCGTGGTGCCTATTAGGGGCTGCTGAGCCGCTATCTCTGCCTCCTCTTCCCCTCCAGGGTCCTGGGGCTCAGGAGATGTGAGCAGGAAGAAATAGCTGGAGTAGGGTGAAGACAGGGTCAAAGGGCCCCTGGCGGGCTGGAAAAGGCCCCCATTGACCATCAGGCCACTCTCCCCAGACCCTTTGTTCTGACTGCTGGCTCACACCAGGAGAGTCAGCTCTGTTTTCTCGTCATCTTAATTCTAATGATCACTCCAGCTACCACTAATTATATGTTCACTCTGTGCTAGGCCAGAACTGCCCAAATTGTAGTCACTTATATTCTGGCTTCATGTTATTTGCCATATCCACATTCCTCCTGTACATACTATTTTTTACTTAATATTTTCTTTTGAATTGACTCACTTTTTCTACCTGGCCTTGTCCTAAGCAATAATCTGTGAATGCCCATGTTTGATTGGCTAGTTCAAATTGTTTCCTCATATACATGCAAATACAAACAGAACTAACAAAATAAGTCCACCCAAGTCCCATTTCAAATCATCTCAGGAACCACACTGTGCTGACTGCGTCACACTCATCACCTCACGGGAAAGCAAGAACTTCTGCTATTTGAGATATGGGGAAACCGAGGTTCAGAAAGGTGAGGTAACTTGTCCAACTCCACACAGCTAATAAGTGGCAGCTCCAGGACTCAAACCTAGGGCTATCAGAGTCCAGTATCCACATCCCTACATGGCGAGGTGGTAGGGATTTGAAGACTGGGATCATGATCAAGTTCTCTCTCCTTTAATCCCTCTTCCTCCCTGATGAGGATAAGACCACTGGGGCTTAGGGACCCCATTTCTGAGACCATGGGAGGAAAGGAGGTGAAAGAATGCTGCCTGAGCAGAAGCCAGAGATAAGAGCGGAAGTGCCTAGTTGGGGGACATTTCAGCCATCTGGGAATACAGCAAAGCAGACTTCCACCTTAAAGCCTGAGGGGCCTCATGACTAAAAAGCATGGAGCAGCTTGACATGAAAGCCACCACGGTTGTTAGGGATTGCAAAATGTCAGCCCGGGAGAAGGGACCCAGGCTCCAATTCTTAAAAACACCAGATTGAGCTCCTTCCCTCTCCTTTCTCAGTAGAACGCCTCAGTTAATGGGGAGCTAACCTGCCAATAAGAAATACTAATCTCTTTGTTCCTCAATCGAATGGGCCACAGCTGCTGAGTTCAGAGATACTATCTGTATATACCTTAAGGTGTAGTTGTGCTTAGTAATGAGCTATGTGTTCCTGCTTCTATAGATAAAAGAGTAATTAGCTAAGACATCTTGTGACTATTAGGGGATATTTGAAACTTCTACACATTGTAACCCACGAGCTTTTCACGTGAAATCACTGTAATCTATAGCATGAAAAAGAGGATAAAAACAGGTGCTAGATTTCAGTCAGTGCCACCTGGCTCATGGGAATGCTGGTGGTCCCCTGACCTTCCCTGCACCCTTTCACCTTACTTTCTGTGCCTGTGTCTTTGTCTCTCCCATCTCTTGCAGCACACACTGCCCGGGGACCCAGGGCGTCGCAAACCCCCAATACCTCCCAGTTCAGGACAGCTCACCTGGCCAGCAGCAGGACAGGAATACCCAGCATGGACAGCAGGGTGTGCTGGGGGGAGAGGCCAGCCTGGGTGAGGCCCAGGTAGGACAGTGCCCCCAGCAGCCCTGCGCCCCCTGTACCCGAGGACCACCAGGAGATCACAGCCCTGGGAAGGAGAACACAGAACACTCAGGAAGACCCAAGCCAGCAGCAGGACAGCCTCTCCCCTCAGTCCTTGCTCCAGCTGCTTACCTGGGATAGAAGGCAGTGAGTGAGAGGAAGGTGACCTCCCCCAGGCCTGAGGAGATGCTAGCCAAGACTACACCTGGGAGGAGGATAAGCACAGAGGTGGCCATACCTAGCCTTTCCTCGATAGCCCGTGTCCCCTATGGCATTTGACCATGGCCTCCTCTGTATCAGCCTGAAGGGGCTAAAAACAGATCCCTTGGACACACTGGGTTCCAGATCTGAAGCAGAGCCAACGCCCTCCTCCCCATGTCCTCTCTGAGAGAACAGTACCTCCATCCACCCAGTTAACAGACCCAGAGCAAGAACTCATCCTCAACGTCTGGGTGACTCTGCTCACCAGTCTCCATCCAATCGATCCACTTCCTCCCACCTCCTCCACCACCTGCCCCTCCAAATTGCCCTCACCTCTGATCTCCTGCTTGTGACAGCCTAGCAGGCTTCTGAGGCTTACAGAAATAACCCCTTTCCTCCAGGAAGCTGGGGAGACCACCCCCCACAAACACTGTGTTCCCCTGGGCCCCCCACCTGACCCCAAACCACACACTCACCACACAAGCTGGTCCCCACTGAATGAGAAAAGGCGACCAGGATGAAGCTCCCAGCAGCACAAAGCCCACTGACGAGAACCCGAGGGCTGAGGGTGAGGAGGGATAGGAAGGGGAAGGTCGGCCTCCGCTCTCAGGCCCCAGCCCTCCCACCTCCCTCCTCCTTTGCCACCTCCTTCGCCCTCCCAGCCTCTCCACTCCCAGCCCCCTTCCTCCCGCCACCCACAGCCAGACCTGTAAGGCAGCAGGTGAAGGCCAAGAGGAGCCAGCAACTTAATGCCAAAGGTGGGGAGGATGTCTGCCAGGAGCACCGCCTGGACAGGAGAACAGAGTGAGAGCCCAGACCTTCTCAGGGACAACCCTCCCCACCAAGTGGCCAAGGAAAGGACTTCTACAAACACAGAGTCTGGGGTCAGGCAGATCTGAGTTCCAGTCTCAGCTCTGCTGCTTCTTAGCTATGTGACAAGGCATTTATATTCTCTGACATTCAGTTTCCTCATCTGAAAAATGGGGATGATTACGGTCCCTGGCTCCCTAGCTCACAGGACTGCTGGGTGGATTAAATGAGCTAATATATGCTACATATAGAAAGGACTCAGTACATGGTGGTCTCAATTATTTTCATCATGATGGTCCCAACTGGGTACTGAGAGGTCAGGGGGTGGGGTCTATAGACCCAGAGGGCCTGGGTCAGGAGAGGACAGATGAGTACGCACAGCCGTGGAGACAGAGTTGCAGTCAAATCGAGAGGAGCCATTGAGGGGAGTGGGCGTTGGGCCTGGGTCCACCTGGTGAGAAAGGAGAAAGTTTTTCACCCAGGGAGGCAGAAGGGTGGCCAGAGCCCAGCTCCTGTTGCAGTTCTGCCTTAACTTGAAGATCAGCACAGGCCTTCTCTATGTGCACAGTGGAGGGGTATTTCCATATAAGTCACAAACGAATGACCCACAATCCAAAATAGTCCCGGAAACAGACTTTGTTTGGGTAACACATTTAAGAGCTTTCATATAAAAATCTGGGTTTCTAGAAAATCTGATCCAGGACCAAATTCATTGTTGGACCTGGAAGGTGATAGCTGCTCCCCTTGGATGGGGCATGCGCCCTCCAGCTCACCACAGACAAGTGGTTCTCAATCAAGGGCACTTTTACCTTCCTAGGGAACATTTGGTAACGTCTGGAGACGTTCTTGGTTGTCACAACTGGCAGCCATGGGGTGGGCTACTGGCATCTAGCAGGTAGAAGCTAAAGATGCTGCTAAACATCCTACAATGCACAGGAAAGCCCCGCAACAGACTCATACAGCCCAAAACGTCAATAGGGCCCTAATCTTAGCACTCTGGGAGGCCAAGGTGGGTGGATCACTCAAGGTCAGGAGTTTGAAACCAACCTAAGCAAGAGTGAGACCCTGTCTCTATTAAAAAATAGAAAGAAATTAGCTGGACAACTATATAAACGAAATTAGCCGGGCATGGTGGCACATGCCTGTAGTCCCAGCTACTCCAGAGGCTGAGGCAGAAGGATTGCTTTAGCCCAGGAGTTTGAGGTTGCTGTGAGCAAGGCTGATGCCACGGCACTCTAGCCCAGGCAACAGAGTGAGACTCTGTCAAAAAACAAAACAAACAAAAAAAAAAAATCCTGCCATAGATTCTAGTCCCACCCAGCTAACATTTGAGCTTGCAAACCTGGCACTCATTCATCCCTTAAAGGCCTTTTCTGCTTTGAGGGTCTGGGAGACTGGGAACTTTAGCCCCCTTGTCCCACCCCTAGGCCACTCTCTTCCATGAGGTTTTCAAGGGGGCCTCTAACCCACGGTGAGTATCTCATCTTCGCACAGGGCTTAACCATGGTGGTGGTGGTAGAGAGGGGGGTCACTTACATGGCTCTGGTTCCCAGGTACCTTTTCATGGCTAAGGATGTCATGGGCAGCACTCAGCATCACCACATAAGAGAAGTTGTTGCAAAGACCTAGCAGCCTGGAATGAGCAGGACAGATCTCAACTTCCTTTCAGGCTTTTAATCTATCATAGTCTTTGTGCCAAACCTTCCCCTTACCTCTGCCCTCCAATCAGCTCCCTCTTTTTTTTCCCCTGTCACCAGATCCCACCTTCATTCAGTGTTGGGGTCAGAGATAGAGGCTTTAGGATCACAAACTTGGATTCAATTCCAACCTCAGAGGCCTCTACCAGGAGGCTATCCTTGATCACTGTCTCCTCTGATCTCCTACTAGGATTCAGTTCCTGGAGGCATTTCTCACCCACTGATACACTGAGGTACAAGAAAAAAAATAAATCCTGGGGCTGAAACCCAGAGGACTTTGTTAAAGTCCTGAGTCTGCCACTTCTTAATTTTATGGCCTCCATCTACTCATGTAAAATGGGGATACAAATTTCTCTCCTGATTAAAGTGCTGCAGGGATCAAAACAAGTCCATACCAAAGCCCTTTATGATCCAGGCGAAGCATTTTATTCACTTACTCTCATCTCTCAGAGCTACACTCAGTGATGGGAAGGAAACTGGGCCCAGTGTCAGCAATTTCACAAGTGACCTTTTCCCAAGTCTATGAAGTGGTACTACAGTACTCTTCCTTCACATTTTACTGTTGAGGAAACTGAGGCACAGAGAGGTTTAGTGACTCTGAGGTTAAGTGTTGGAAGTGGGAAGCCACTTCCAACCCAAACTGCCACCCAAGTCCTTGATGTTTAGGTTAATGCTAGATGTATTGCCCAAGGCTCAGTATTTGAATAATTCTAGAAGGTAGATGGAAAACTCTTTAAAACTTTCTAATAGCGATGCATTTATTTAAACATGCATTAGAAAAATATTGGTTTTCCCTTTGGAGTAGTGATTTAAAGTTTTCTTTTTAAAAATATGTGCATTAAAAAAATTTTAAACTGAACTGATTGGAGGAAAAACGTTTAAGTAAATAATCCTACACGTGGTATGAGGATCTGGCCAAAGCCTGAAGGTGGTTAAGAAGAGGAGTGAAGTTTGGAAAATTTATGCGCCACCTCAGGGCAAACCTGTTGACTCAGTAACTACCTATAGATTCAGCTCCTGCGTGCAGCTTAACTCCGTCTTCCCCTTTCCCTCCCGTCACTTCCCTCTTCCCACCCCATTGTTACTTTTGCTGAACTCCAGGCCACTCACCAGAAGCCCACCGCGTTCTTCCAGTGGGCGCCCTGATGGTCTAACAGAGGGGGCTGGGGATCCGAGGCGGTCTCCTCCCCTGGGAGGGCGAGAAGAGAGCATGACCCTCCACCCCGCTCTCAGGGGCACGACGGCCCCATGGATGTCCTCCCTGGGCCGAGCCAGCTCTCACTCCCGTCAGGTGGGGTGCGAGCCAGACGTGGTCACTCCTGTGAGGATGGGCGGTAATACTCACCCTCGGAATCCGAAAGCCTCCGCCACGAGCCTGCAGGTCCTCCCATGGCATCAAGTTCAGGTCCCCCAAGGGTCCAAAGTCACAGAGTGTTCTTCAGAGTCGGCTTCGACGGGATAGATGAGGGTCTGCGACAGGTGAGAAAGATCAACGCCCCATTGCCGCTCCCAGCTCCGGCTTGTCTGCCGCACTCGCGCCCCGCGATCCATGAGGCGAGCCCCAGGCTCCATCTCGAGCCATCTCACGCCCTCCCACGACCCACCCGTCGGCCTCTGCCCCCGCCCCATCTATAGCTGGGGGCGCTGCGACCTGTACCTTTAAGAGCCTCAGAGCTTTCCGCACTGAGGACTGTCAGGTTGTTGGGTCACGTGACAGCACCCGCGGGACACCCCATCACGTGCTCGGAGGTCCTCCCTACTTCCGGGTCCTCCCTCCGTGTTCACTTTAGGCCGCCTCTGCTTTGGGGCGTGAAAAAGAGAGAGGACAGGAGAACCCTGGAACCCTTGGCTTTGAACTGGAGCGGTGGGATCAGCAAGTTAGCAACGTGACGTTACATTAACTGCGCCCAAGGAAGATACTAGCCAGGACTAGTCATGGCTGCGGGAGGCTTCAGATCCTTTCCCTCAGCACTCACTTGCCAGAAATAAATATGGCCACCTTAGTAATCCTTTTTTCAAACAGGACTTTCTGGCTGGGAACAAAGACGCCAGCTGTAGGTTATTCTTACTCCTACCTGTTACCCTTACAAATTGTTTTAGAAATCTAAAATAAAGATAACACTCACCTGAAGGAATTTCATGAATTATCTGTGGGCGGTATCCAAGACGTTAAAAGATTCCCTTTCGCCAATTATCCTGGAACCAAAAAATATCACGGAAGTAGTCAAATTCCTGGTTTTACAGATGGGAAAACCGAGATACCAAAAAAATAATAATAATAATAAAGTTACTGACATCTAAAGATGACCTTAGAGACCCCCTTGGCAATAAGAAATAAAAGCACCACAAGCAGGGAACTGCTGGGCAGGCTGCTGCAGGATTCCTGCCTCCATCAAGGGTGCTTAGAGCAGATGATTCTAAGGCCTAAGATTCTGGTTCAATTGCCCTAGTTTGAAATTAAGCTGGGGCTGGGGAGAGGGGATGGGGAAGAAATGTAGATCAAGGTCACTTCACATAGTCCCAAATAAGGAGTTATACCCTTACCTTCCTCTAGGTGGTAAAGCAGCATCCTGAATTCTCTTCATGGTGTACTTCCCCTGCTAACGTCTGCTGCGGGCTTCCAAGAGGCCGAGCCCACCTCTACTAGCTCTTTCTCACCACCAGGCCTTCAGACTGTTGTTTAAAATATACCCACTCTAGTGTGCTTCCCAGGTCACTCAACCAATGAAAAAATGGGGTCCTACTATCACGCAGGGCTCTAGAAATTCAGCCTCTGCCCTCAAGGAACTCACAGGAGGGCGGGTGGTACACAAGTAACCACAATACAAAATGTAGCCAAGTTCTCATTTGCAAGATCAACCACAAATGAGGGGATGGGCATTGCAGCCACCAATCCAGCCCCTTTGTCTGCTTGGGGAAGCCTTAATGACACTGAAATGAGAAGACAGAGCTCCTACCAGCCCCCTCCTCACTCCTACTCCTTGTCCCCAGGCAAAACAGGAACCACAAACCCCAGCTTCCTCTCACAGAGTGGCTGTGGCTTGGGGGAGACGGAAATGGCTGAGGTGTGAATACAAGACCTGAGTCACTTGTGCTGCAGTTGCCACATGCCCCCTCCCCCATTACCAATTCTGAGGTATCCTGCTCCCACATTTTTCTTTCTCACTTCCCCCTTGCCCTTTAATTCCAAATATGCACCTGAGTCCCCTGCGTGATGCCCACCCATTGCCCAGCCGGGAGTGGAGGCTGCAGTGGGCATTGGGGCAGTGGGCAGGGCCTGGGTGGGTATGCGTCAGGGGAAACAGGGGAAGAGGAAGTGTCTTGGGTGCCGGGGAAGACTGGCTTGTAGGTGGGGACGGTCATTGTCAGCTTTCTGGACACACAGAGACAGACAGGATGGACTTCCTCCGGCTACACCTCCCTGGGCTGCATCAGGCCTTAAGGGGGGCACTGGTGAGAGGGGCAAAGAGATGCCAGAGACTTTCACCCTGCTCCCCGGGGCCTTACCTCAGGGCCTCTCCCCTGGGCCTCACCTTCCCTCATCCCTTTGAACTTCTCAGCTTGAGATTCTTTTCTTGGGGTCAGACAGCCCCCCAGCCTGATCTTTTCTGAATTTCAATCCCTCTACCTCCACAAACACATCACATGCCTCTAGTCTAGGCCCTCTCTCACTTTCTCTGCAGATCCTGCTCTCCTTCTCCCAGATCCAGAACCCCTCTTGCTTGTCCTGGCTCCCCTGGCCCAGGGTCCCCAGGGCAAGGGCTGGGCCTTCCCTTAATGTCTCCCCCCCCCTTCTTCTAGGATTCCCTCAGCACCTTTGTCTCCTACCTCATAGGAGATGAAGTCCCCACTGTAGAGAGGGAGGCGCAGGCAACCAAGGAACTGGAGGTGATGGCTGTAGAAAGACCAGGGAAGACTGTGGAGGAGGAAGCCCAGGAGGCCCTGGAGGGCCTTAGAGGTGGCCAAAGCAAGGGGGATGGAAAGCTGGGAGGGCCTGGAGAAGCCGGAAGATGCCAAGGGGGAAGCTCAGCGGCAGAACAAGCCTGGGGCTGGGGAGACAGCAGCTCCCATGGGTCCCAAACAGACAGGCAGGACACAGGGGTCTGGGAGCCAGCCAAGGCTGCCAGGTGCCAGGAGCCAAGTGTCCCCTTGGAGTCTGGAAAGAAGTCTGAGGCAAGGTCTGGGGCTCGACAAGACAGGAGCAGCCAAGCCCAGGAAAGGCAGGAGCCCGAAGAGCAGGAAGTGAACAGAGGGGAGACGCTGAGAACCTGGGAACAGGAGGAGGAGGAAGAGGTCAGGGCAAGAGAGCCAGGGATGGCCAGAGGGGCGGAGTCAGAGTGGACCTGGCACAGGCAGCCTGAGGGGAAGGCTGCTGCTGATGGGCAAAAGGTGTCAGGGGACAGCAGGGAGACTGAGCAGGTGGTCAAGGAGACAAGCGCAGGGGAACCTGAGAGGCCCGGAGCTAGAGAGGTTGGCAGGGAAGAAGAGGTGGCAGTAAAGGTGAGGGGTTGCCGAAACACAAGTGCACAGGGGGTACAGAGTCCAGGGGAGGAGTCTGAGGACTGGGCAACCTCAGGCAGAGAGGAGGCTGGGACAACCTGGGGCAGGGAGGAGGCTTACCTACCTGGAGTCAGGGAGACAGAATATGGGCCAGTCCCTGGAGAAAGGATCCCAGAGGCTACTGGGAGTGTCTGGGTCCTAGAAGAAGGCTCCCAGGGAGCCCAGGAGGAGGAGGTGGGTGAGCAGAGAGAGGCTGAGGTGAGTCTTTTCCCCAAACAGGCTCAGGCCCTGGGCCCTGAGGCAGTGGAAGAGGCAGCTGAGGGCCAGACAGCAGGGAGGGAGGCTGCGGGGGGCCAGGAGCGGGAGGAGGAGGTAGGGGAATGCTTGGAGGGCCGGGCAGCTCAGTGTGGGAAAGAGGCTGAGCAGGCCATTCTGGAAGATGTTGTACAGGCAGAGGAGGCCCAAGAGGAGAAAGGGAGGTGCTGGGCCACAGAGGCTGAGCTGTCCCCAGACAAAGAAGCCAGAGGTGATGTTGACTTGGAGGCAACCACAGAGGCCAGGCCTGAGGAGGAGTTCACAGGGCAGAGGAGTAAGGAGGCCCAGATGAGTCCAGAAGCACCCAGGGTGGAGCAGGGTGGCCTCCAACACAAGGTCACCGAAGGTCAGGAATCCGAGCAGATGGGAGGCACCCAGACCCCAACAGAGCAACCTGAGGAAGGACAGGGCAGTAGGGAAGAGCTCTGGAGAGTTCCAGCCCTGAGCAAAGAGGGGACAGAAAGGAGCCTGGAGGACTATCCTGGGCACCTGGGGTGTATAGAGCCCGAGGTCTCACAGGCTTTTCCAGAAGCCTGGGAAAACCAGAGAAGAAGGGACGAGGAGAGAGGAGATACCCAGGAGGAAGCTGCAGATGCCAGGGAGAGAGGAGATACCCAGGAGGATGAAGCGGAGGACGAAGCAGATGTCCAAGAGGAGCGGGAGGTGGAAGAGGGGGAGGGGGAGGGGGATGAGGGAGAGGGGGAAGAAGGGGAGGGGGAGGTCTCAGGAGTCCAGGCCCTAGAGACAGAGGCCAGAGGAGGCCAAGCAGAGGGGGAGGAGGACGACGAGGAGAAGGAGGGAGAGGGGAAAGAGGGGGAGAGGGAGGGGGAGGTCTCAGGAGTCCAGGCCCTAGAGAGAGAGGCCAAAGGAGGCCAAGCAGAGGGGGAGGAGGACGAGGGGGAGGGAGAGGGGGAAGAGGAGGAGGGGGAGGAGGAGGTCTCTGGAGTCCAGGCCCTGGAGGCAGAGGCCAGAGAAGGCCAAGCAGAGGGGGAGATGGAAGAGGGGGAGGGGGAGGTCTCAAGAGTCCAGGCCCCAGAGGCAGAGGCCACAGGAGGCCAATCGTCTGAACTACCAGAGATTCTGGAGGCCGGTGGGGAGGGAAAGAAAGCAAAGGACAGGAGGTACAAAACAGAGGTCTCTTCAGTAGCAGAGCCCCTGGAGCTGAATAGCAGCCCCAGGCCAGAGGTGGGGACAGGCCAGTCACTGGGAGAGTCAGATGCCAGAGAAACCAAGCCTGGGGAGGTAGAGGCCACAAGGCCAGGAGAGGCAGACAGAACATCTAGGAGAGATTGGAGGCTGGAGGGGGCAGCTCTGGGCCTTGGGGACAGGGAGAACACACAGACCAGCGCTTTGGCTGCAGAAGTGGTAGAGAACAAGGCAGATCTGGATGGAAGGGCTGCTGGGGCAGGGGCCGCTTGGGAGGGGGTGCCTGGGCGGAGCTGGGACTCAGAAGAGAGAGAGGCGGCTGCAGCGGCACAGAGCAGAGGTGGGCAGGAGTTTGGCCTGGAGGGCTCAGCAGAGGAAGAGGTGGTTGACAGAGGTGGCTTAGCAGAGGCTTTTGAGGCTGGAGCGGGAGAACATGGGGTAGGGCAGGCAGAGGCTGGGGAGTCTGCAGAGGCAGAAGGAAGCTGTGGGCTGGATCACTTGAACTTGGGCCCCCACGCAGTGAGGACAGAGGGGACCAGAGCCACAGTGGAGGCTCAAGAGCTCCTGGGAAAGCAGATGGTTTTGGAAAAAGAAGCTCAGGGGTGGCAAGCAAGAGAGCAGAGGGAGGACAGTGAGGGGCAGCATGGAGACTGCCACCCCGAGGGAGAGGTGCAAGGGCCCCTTGATGAGGAGGAGATCCTTGAGGAGGAGATCCAGGTGACTGGGGGCCAGACAGAGGCTGAGGAGATGGACCCAGAAGGCCTGGGACACATCGAAGTCCAGGAGGAGCCAGTAAACCAGGACTCTGCAGAGGCTGCGCCTGGGCCACTCGGGAACACTGAGACCGCAGAGGCCACAGGCAATGTTGGAGGGGATGCTTGCGGCAGCTGGAGCGAGGTGAGGGCTCCAGTGGGCAGGGTGCAGGGCGGGGCAGGGCAGAATCTCAAAGCCAGCCCCATAATCCTCTGCGCCTCCTTCCCTGCAGGCCCTGCTTCCCGGGTCCCGCCTGGATGTCTCTGTCCCAAGGAGCCGGGTACTCCTCTCACGAAGCTCCTCCCAGCGCCGCTCCCGGCCCTCTTTCTGTAGGAAACCTGCCCCTGAGCAGCAGGAGGAGCCCCCCAGCCCCGAGCCCGAGGAGGGGCTGCCCGATCCAGAGCAGAGTCTGCTACAGCTGGAGGAACCCCCAGAGCCTCTGAGGCCTGAAGGGACCCCAGTGCCAACCAGGAGAAGGCCCCCGGGACACGGGTAGGCACAGGGTGACTGGGCTGGGATGGAGGAAGAGGCTGTGGGCATCTGGGGACTGGCTCCTGTCTTCCACCTGCAGGTTTGGCCTTGCACACCTCGGCATGATGCAGGAACTGCAAGCCCGCCTGGGCCAGCCAAAGCCCCAGTAACTGCTACTTAACGCTCTGGGGACCAGCCCTGAGTGAGGGGCAGAGGCTCAGTTGGACCCTGCTCACCCCTCCCTCCTTCTGCGAACCTGGACACATCCTTTCCACCCTCTGAGCCTCAGTTTCACAGTGTGTCTTTCATGGAGAGGACAAAATCAGACATTTGTGAAGACCTTGAACTTAAGGAATCTGATCCTCCAGTGCAGGCTGGTGGGCCACCTACCCCACTGGAACCACTTTTCAGGGTCCCTGCCCTGGTTACCTCCTCAGCCTATCTCAGCTGTCCAGAGACTGAACAGAGGACTGACAGGGGACAGAGACTGTTCTGCCCGCAGCCTCCCTCTCTGGCCCCTCTCCCCAGCCCACCTCCCACCCAAGCCCTTCAGAGCTGTGCAGGAGTCACAAACCTCTGGATGTGACGCCAGCCCAAAGGCAGGGGGTTAGGAGAACCTCATGAGCACCACTGAGATCCAGGGGGCTGCCCTGAGCTTCCAAAATAGTAGTGCAGCCTGGGAGCTCTGCTGGTTACTATGGCAACCACCCAGGTGAACAGGCCAGAGTAGAGGAGGATGGATCAGGGGCCCCAAAAACATAGGATCAGAGAGGGGTCCAGGATGGCCAGAGGCTGCCAACTCCATTCCAGGCCATCCCACCCTTTGGGTGTCAGGCGGCCCTACCCTGAAAAACAGCTGAGCCAGGGAGAGGGTGAGAGTGTTTTATTAGGTACCCAGCGTGGTGGCCAGGCCCCGAAACAATAAATAAACCATCATCTCCCTAAACAATAAATAAATATCCAAGAAATAAATAGCTGGCAAGGACTGGAGGGGCTTTAAGTTATTGGGTAGGGCCTGGGGCTGGGGGCTGGTAGAGGCCTGCCTTGTCTAAGGCATATGAGCTGTCGCTGTCCTGTTGGCCAAGACTTCAGTCCTAAAGTCCTAAGGGGTGAGGGGTCGGAGACTAAGAAATCACCCCGTCAGGACTGGGGGCCAGGTGTTGGGAACCCCAAGGCCTTGGGGCTGGGTTTCCGGCCTTGGACAGCAGCAGCAAGTCCCTCACGGCCCGAGATAAGACAAGCTCCAAGGAGTGCAGCAGCTGGTAGGTGTAGAGCAGCCGGGGCCAGGTCACCTGGGCCGGCACCTGCAGGGGGCTGCCGGGAGCCCCTGGGAGAAGGCCCTTCCCCTCCTCCTTCTCCTCCTCCTCCTCCTCCTCAGGGAGGTTGAATCCTGCAGCCAGCACCTGTGAGGAGAGGCCCACGGGTCAGAGAGCAGCCTGGCTGAGAGCCTGTCCGAATCCTTGTTTCTTATATGTGCCCAACAGCTCACACAGGGACATCCGACCATGAGGTCATGATTTCCCTGGACAGCCCCTACTTCATATCTTCCATGATGTCATCATCTCATGTGTCCTATCTGATTTTTCGGTTCAAGAAAATGAAAAGTCATGAAGCAAGATGATGCTCACAGAGCTGGGTCACTCCCCCGGGAGTGCCCTGGGGGTTGGGGTTCAGGAACTATCTCTCTGCTGTTACGGATTGTTGCGGGATCAGAAATGGGCAGGGGGTGACATGGCTAAGTTTCCATACTGGTTGCATTTTCTATTCTCCTTTTATTAAGGGGGAAATTTCTATTTCCCTTTGAAAGGTTCAGGAGGATCTGGGTGATGTCAGAGAGTCAGGAGAAGGGAAGCAACTCTGCTGATGCCGGATGCAGTGCTGGGTGTTTCAGAGCTGTTCTCTCATTTACCACCAACCCCCAGGCCAGGCATGGTGGCTCGCACCTGTCAGCCCAGCATTGTGGGAGGCAAAGGTGGGAGGATTGCTTGAGCCCAGGCGTTCAAGACCAGCCTGAGCAACATAGTGAAACCCCGTCTCTACAAAAAAAAAATAAGAAAAAAATTAGCTGGATATGGAGGCATGTGCCTGCAGTCCCAAGCTACTCAGGAGGCTCAGGTGGGGAGCGTCCTTTGAGCCCAGGAGTTGGAAGCTGCAATGAGCTATAATCATGCCATTGCACTCCAACCTGGGTGCCAGAGCAAGACCCTGTTTCTAAAAACAAAACAAAACAAAAACCAATCCCCAGGAGAAGACAAAGATCAGAGATTATGAGGCAGCTCCAGGGCTCCAGGGCCTGCTGCAGCTGTACACACATGCACACTCACACTCAGACACGCTGCCACACTCATTCACTCACTCTCACACCGCACACATTCACACATGTATGCTCAAGAGTATCTGAAGCATCTCCCTCCAGACTTCCCAACCTGTAGGAAGTGGAGTGTTTTAAAAAAGGTAGCCAATGAGCCTTGATTTGCCGAGCTGGCCCCTGGGAGTGGAGGAGAGGGTGGGCACGCTACCTGGAAGCCGAGGTGCCGCTGCAGGTCCCGGAGGTCCAGCCGCATGGCCCACAGCTGCATCCTCTCAGAGCTGGTCCAGTCCCCCTGGCTCCCCAGCGCCCCCAGCAGGGCATGGAAGGGCCGAAGTGTTGTGGAGAGGAAGCAGAGTCGTTCTGGGTCCTATAGAAGGGGAGGGAAAAGGTCAGGAAAGGCCCATGGGCCAAGGATGACCCAACGTTAAACCCAAACCCCTTCCTACTGGTTCTCATTCCCATTCCATACGCCCACCTCATCCATCCCAGCCCTCTTCTCTCCCTCTGCCCCACTGCCATCCCTATCCCATCCTGCGCTCTCACCCCTCCCCATCTCCGCTGTCCTCGACCTCCACCCACTTCCTCTTCCAGCCTCCCTGGCAGCCCCGTACCTGCTCTTCCCCAGCTACCCACTGCCGCCCCACAGCACTCCCCATCTTTGCCCATCCCATCCTCTTCTCCACCGTCCTGTCCTACCTCCTGCTCACTTCATCCCATTTCTACCCTTATTCCCATTCCAAATCTCAACTCCATCATTCCCCCACCTTTCCATCATATCTCTAATCCATCCTCCACCCTATCCCCTTCCCATGCTGGGCTTCACCCTCCCCCTCTTCCTAACCCCACTTCCTCACTGCAGCTCCATCTCTCTATCCAGCTACACATCCTACCTCACCTAGACACTGCCCCCAACCCATCTTCAGCCCGATCCCCAACTTCATGTCCGCATGCCTCAGCCCCGGCCTGGCCGCTCCGCACCCCACCACACGGGTCTCACTCACAGAGAGGCGGCGCCAGGCGTAGAAGGTCAGAGAGACATTGGGGAACTGCTCTCCCAGGGGCAGGAGGTCCAGGTTCACTCCCGGCAGGTGAGATTGAGCCTGTGGGGCAAGGCCTGTTAGTGGCGGCCAGAGGGGACTGGGGCTCTGCCCACGCCACCCCCAGAGCCACATTAGGGAGACTCACAAAGCGGTGGGCCTGGCCCCGAACCTCGGTGAGCAGCTTCCTGGCGAGGTGCAAGCTGACCGTGAACTCCCTTCGCAGCTCCTGCAGGCTCAGGGGGGGCCTCGGGAATCCCCAGACACCAGCTCGAACCAGGAGCAAGGACAGTAGCAACAGGCTGAGCCCTGGAGAGATGTGGCAAGGGGCAGGGAGGGCGCATGGGGAGCAAGATGAGGAAAGAGCTTGAGGACTCAGAGACGTGCCTTTTCTGAGCCTGCGCTACGTGTGAGCACTGTGCAGGCACGTTCATGGACGTCTTCCCACTGCCCCCTCTAAACCACCAGGGGCTATCAAAGCCACCAGGTGGCATCTCTGCACAGAGTGCCCACCTTTGCAAGCAGACTAGAGGCTGGATCTTGACACCCCCCCCCCACTAACTCCCTCAGCCAAGTGCCTTTTTCAGTGAACACCCTGCACAATTGCATGTGGTAGCCTAGATTTTATTATTCTCCCCATTTTGCAGATGAGGAAAGTGAGGCTGAGTAAGGTTGATTTGCCCAAGGTCAGATAGCCAGAGGGTGGGGGAGCCAGGACTAGATTCCAAATCTGTCCAAATGCATAGCCCATGTGCTTTCCCCAGGAAACTCAGAAGAGGCAGCCACCTGCCCCAGGAGTGGGCACACTCTGTTCTGTTCAGGATTCCTTGGGCTCAGCCAGGTGGCTCTGATGGCTTGAACTGGCTTCTAGGGCCCCAGGGGTGGGTTGGCACTGCCGGAGGCTCTAACCCAGGGAGCCAGAAGGACAGGTTGGTCCAGCCTCCACCAAGGCAGGTGGGTCACTGTGCAGGGGAACCTGCCCAGGGCAAATATACATGTGGGAAAGGGAAGGGTAGGGGGACCAGGAGGAGGGCCTAGAATGGGAGGCAGAAGCTCTCTTTCTCATCCTAACCTTCCCTTGTGCCTCAAGCTCCCATCTGTAAAATGGGGGAGTCAGAATAGCTGATTTCTGAGGGAGCTTCCTGCTCTGCGTTTTCCTGGAAAGAGGAAAGAAGAGTGATGGGGTGGGGGCTCCAGGCAGAGGGCGATGTTCAGCAGTTTCTCCCTCAGGGGGAGGAAATCCAGCAATCAGAGGAGTTACACAATTCTCCTCGAAACACAAACCAAAACTGGCCCCAAGTCCATCCCTGCTCTCCCTCCTGTCCTACCTCTTCCCTGTCCATTCTCAGTCTCTAATCCCTGAGCTCTGCTCCTTGAAATATCTCCTCAATAAAGGTTATGGGAGCTTCTAGGGATACCCACTTCCCTTATGGATCTCCAGAGGAGGCAGGCAATGCCTAAGAGCTTTGCATTCAGCTTCCCTGGCTTGGGGGTACTCTGACCCTCTGACATCCCGGAGACTTAAGGCAGAGTGGGGTTCTTCCTAGTTTTAATTCTTTTTTTTTTTTTTAGTTTTTCTTGAGACAGAGTCTAACTCTGTTGCCCAGGCTAGAGTACCGTGGCATCAGCCAAGCTTACAGCAACCTCAAACTCCTGAGCTCAGGCAATCCTCCTGCCCCAGCCTCCCAAGTAGCTGGGACTACAGGCATGCACCACCATACCTGGCTAACTTTTTTTATATACATTTTTTAGTTGTCCAGCTAATTTCTTTCTATATTTTTAGTAGAGACAGGGTCTCACTCTTGCTCGGGCTGGTTTCGAACTTCTGAGCTCAAATGATCCTCCCCCTTTGGTCTCCCAGAGTGCTAGAATTACAGGCATGAGACACTGCACGCAGCCTTCTTCCTAGTTTTATGTTGCAGACAGAGTGGGTACACCGGGGCCCTGGTGGTTATTGCCCACCCAGAATTTAGCTGAGCCATCTCCTACTTATCCCCTTTTCCTGACTGAGCTCTGGAACCCCCAGGCCCTCTCTCTACCCTCTGTGGACAGTCCTGGGTCCTTGGCCCTGGTCTTTGAAGGTTCTCTCTCCATCCTCCAGCCATTAGCCCCTACCTGGCCATGTTACCTGCTCCTCTGCCTACAACTCTGGTTCTAGCCACTGAGTTCTTCAGCCACAACTGCAGATTGGTCCTCTTTCCAAGCTGAAGACCCTTAACCCCATTAAGCTGCTGACCCTTGACCTCAGTGCACCCCTTGTGCCACTCCTCCTGCCATTCTTCCTCTAGCCGACCCCAGTCCTCCGTCTCCGCCAAGCTGTCTGGCCCCTGCTCATTCACTCCAAACTCTTCATTTATCTGCCTAGCCCTGGTCCTGGTCAAGCTGTCTATCCAACCCTCCCACTCGTGGTAGCCAACGCTTCCCATCCTCTGCCCAGCCCTGGTCAAATCACCACCTATCCATCCCCTACCCCTCCTCCCCATTCATGCTAGCCAAATTGTCCCATCCTCTGCCCAGCCCTGGGTCTAACCACTACCCCATTGCCCCAGGCCCCTACCCCAGCCAGCCTCATTCCCATCCTCCAGCCAGTCCCAGCCCTTGGCCCCATCCATAGTGGCCAAGCTCACCCGTCCTCTGCTCAGTCTCAACCAAGTCCCCACCCTCCGCCCCAGCCCTGTCCTCAACTCACGCCAGCCAAGGTCGCCTGCCATCTGGCCCATGTCGGGGCCCAGCCTCTTTGGCCAGCCATCTCCTGGGTAGGGGGGGTCTTATACTGGGGGCTGCACCCAGTTTCACTTTCCGTCCTGCTTGTACTTTCAGCTTTGTATTCACTCAGTCTTCCCTCCTCGCCACCCCTTGCTAAAATGGGGAAATGTAATTTCCCTTCCCAGAGGGGGTGGGAGTTACGCTGGGGGGTAACGGGAAGCTGGAGTTTCGGTCGATCCAAGCTCTGCACCTACTGCTCAGCTTCCAGGTCCGGCCCTTCACTCAATTCCCCACTCCTGGGTAAGCCACGGGCTCTATGCCCTGGGAGGTCCCAGAGACTCAAACCCCTTCTCATCATCATCCTACGGCCATTTGCAGCCCACTTTCCTTCAAAAGATGGATGGCCAGGTAAGGGAATTGCCCACCAGAGGGGACTTGGGGCTTTGAGTCATCCTTACTCTCTTCTGGTTTACCAGATAGCTGAGGGAGGGGCAGGAGGGAAGTCAGAACTCGATGGTGGCTGGGATGGGTCTTGTACGCAGCAGGCAGAGGCTGAGTCTGATGGCGTCTGGGCTGGGATTGGAGCTCAGTCTGCAACTATGGTCAGGGCAGGATGAGAGCGGGTTCAAGGCCATGTCTGGGACCAGGCTCAGGGCCATCCAGGGTCAAGGGCTCAGTCTCTCGCCAGAGTCAGATATAGGATTAGAGCTCAGTCTATAATGAGGGCCAGGACTCGTTCTAGGGCTGGACTCGGAGCCTAGTCTGAGGCCAATGTCCTGGCTCTGTGTTTGGGGTCAGAGCTATCAGTGACCTGGGGCTCTTCTTGTGGCCTGTCAGGGTCGGGCCCAGAACTCAGTTCAGATCTGGGACAGTGCTCGGTCTGTGGCCAAGCTTCTGAATGAGGCTGTTGTCACCCAGGTGAGGGCGCAGGCTTGGGCTGGGATAAGAGCTCAGTCAGTGACCAGGATCAGGGCTCATCCTGTGGTCATCCTGGGGTCGTGTGAGGTCAGGATCAGGGCTTAACCAGGACCCAGAATCCTCTCGCTGTTTCTGCTCTGCAGAGACCACTGTCAGGGTTGGGTGGCAGCAACCACAGAGCCCCCTTCCAGCATGGCCCTGCCTTCAGCCCCGCCCTGGATTTCCCATCTTCAGGGAGAGGATGGGGTTTCTTGGTCTTCCCCGAGGCCCTCTGCTGCCACTTTCCTTTTGGGACCCGTGGGGTTTCCCTGCTGGGTCCCTGCTGTGAGACAGAAACCAAGGGGGCTTCCCCTGCCTGTTCCCTGCCTCCTCCGCCCCCCATAGGCACTGCTCGCCCGGTCACCAGGGCCGCTAGGACCAAGTGCCAGGGAAGTGCCAGCATCTGCCCTGGGAGCAGCCCCACAGGGCAGCTGGAGAAGGACAGGGATGCAGGGCTGGAGCCTCCCGAACCCACACAGGCATCCTCCGCAGTGCCCCCCAGTGGTGGCAGCTCATGCTCCCACCTCGGTAGCTCGGGCTTCCCACTGCAGCTGGGGTCCGGCACATCCCGAGACTGACTGTGAGGATAGCGGCCTGGCTTGTCTTCTGCACATCCCCAAGTCCTGCTGTCATCCTGGAGGCATGCCACGCACTCAGCCCCTCAGCCACACCGGTCCTCCCTCCACTCTCTCCACAGCCCCTCCCACCCTCTGCCAGCACCCAGAACTGCTATACCTTTCAAATCCTGGACCCGTCTCCCACTCTCTGACCACAGCCTGCGGGCCCTCCAACGCCCTCCCAGGGCTCCCGGAGACCTGTCCCATGCTGTTCCTCTGCCCTTCTCAACCCGGCTGCCATGGATTCTTCCAGGCTCACCCTCACCCTCTTCCAGCTCCAGCAACTTTCCACTCATGTGTCAACAAGATGAGCCACTTCGTACTTCCTTGCCTATGCACAAGCCGTTCTATGCCTGGAATGCCATCCTGCCTTCCCCTCCCCAGCCTTCCCTGCACCCATACCCCTTGTCGCTGGCTTACCCCTGAATGGCTCATTCCTTCCTGCCATAAATCTTGTCTCAAATGGACATATCATATTTTTAAAAATCTTGTTCACTCTAGCCTCACTCACACCATTCCAGCCATAAATATGCCGGGCATACTCCTACCTCAGGGCCTTTGCACTTGCTGTTCCTTCTGCCTGGAGCACTCTTCTTCCAGATACCCGCAAAGCTCACTGTCTCCTTAAGAGTCTGGTCAAGTTGGGCATGGTGGCATGCGCCTATAGTCCCAGCTACTTGGGAGGCTGAGGCAGGAGAATCGCTTGAGCCCAGGAGTTGGAAACTGCAATGAGCTATGATTGTGGCTGTGAATAGCCATGGCACTCCAGCCTGGACAACATAGTATGGCTCTTTAAAAAAAAAAAAATGCTCAAATGTCACCTTCTTACTAAAACCCTGTCCCTGGCACTTTCTATACCCTTCCCTGCATTATTTTTTTTTTTTACCTAGCATCTATATATTTTAGATATCTAATATTTGCCCATTTATTTCTTTTGTCTGTTTCCATGCATTCGAATATGGGTGCCATGAGGGTGGGAATGTTTGCCTGTTTTGTGCACTGATGTGTCCCCAGAAGCTAACAACAGGAGGCTCTTAATAAATCATTGTTGGATGGGCACACTGGCTCCTGCCTTGTAATCCTAGCACTCTGGAAGGCCGATGTGGAAGGAATGCTTGAGGCCAGGAGTTTGGGACAAGCCTGAGCAAGATCGAGACCCGTCTCTACTAAAAATAGAAAAATTAGCCAGGCATGGTGGCGCATGCCTGTAGTCCCAGCTACTCGGGAGGCTGAGGCAGGGGGATCACTTGAGCCCAGGAGTTTGAGTTTGAGGTTGCAGTGAGCTACGATGGCACCACTGCACTCTAGCCCAAGGAACAGAGGGACACCTTGTCTCAAAAAAGAAAAAAAATCATTGTTGAACAAATCTGTTTTCTGCCACAAGTGCCTGATCCAGGTTCTGCTCATGCTCGTGACATGTAAGTTGCCTGGATGGAACAGGTCTGGGACTAGCCTGAGCCCTGGGGTCTCACTGTCAGCCTTGCACTCAGCCCAGTCTCCAGCCCCGTGCTGCAGGGATGGCAAGGGGGCACCTAGGCTGCCGGGCACAGCCCTGGCATCCAGCAGATCCTTGGCAAGAACCCAGAGGGCCAATGAGGACAGTGCCAGAATCTGTCCATATTCTTGGACGAAGGGTCTAGGCCAGTCTCTGACTACCTGGACCTCAGTTTCCATAGGTGGGTCTTGGCCAATGGGCTGAGGCTTGTGGTGGTGCCAGCAGGAAGCAGAAGGGATGTGGTGAGGGAGAGGACTGGGAGAAAGGAAACCAGGAAGCCTGGGCTGTAGACTCCAGTGTGCAGCAAACACTTCTGGTGACCTCAGGGAAGTCACTGGCCTGCTCTGGGCCTCAGTCTCCTCACTGAAAAGTGATAGCAATTTTCCAATGCTGCCATACTATTATGTAGAGAAAGTAAAAGCTGGACCAAAAAGTAAAATAAAATAACAAAAGAAAGAAAAAGAAAAAAGAAGCTTCCACCAATTTTCTGGTTATTTTCCAAGCCCCGTTACAGCTCTGACCCTGTGGGGCAGAGGTTCCCAACCTATGGTGAGTTGTGTAATTATTTCATTATATGTTACAATCTAATGATAATAGAAATAAAAGTGCACAATAAATGTAATGCACTTCAATCATCCTGAAACCATCCTCCTGCCCCTGGTCGGTGGAAAACTGTCTTCCATGAAACTGGTCCCTGGTGCCTAAAAGGTTGGGGACCGCTGCTGGGGGGGGCACTCCATGGGCTTGCATGGGAGTCCTGAGCCCAGGGGCAGAAGTTAGAGGCTTCAGATGTGACATCGAGATTGAATCAGAGAGGGAAAGGCTTGTTCAAGGTCACACAGCAGATCGGTCACAGAATACAGACTGGAACTGGAGTCCTCTGTTTTCAGCTTGGGCTAAGGAGGGGAATCCCTGCACTCTGTGATGTCAGCTCCGTGACTCGGAACTAATCCTGGGTGAAACCAGAATGGCGTGGGGTGAGAGCAGGAGGGCTGGGGGCAGGGAATGCGGGACCAGGAGAGGGTGGGCCATGGCCTCACCTCAGAGGCGCCCAAGCACAGGTGGTGTGACCCTGAGGGTAGGCCAGGAGAGGGTGAGCTGAGGCCCACAGTCCCATCGCTGAGCACTGGGCCTGCCTCCCTTCCTGCACAGGCAGTCACGCCACGCCCGACCGGGACCCCGCCCGCACTTATTCTGCAGTGTGCACTTGTGACAGCAACAGGGGGCCTGGGTGTCCAGCCCTCTCCTGCCCACCTTGGGGGCTGCCCCTAAATGTGGCGCCTGTCATGGGACCAACAGCCCTGGGAGGGTGGGGAGTCTGGCCAGGCCAGGGGAAAAGGGCTTCTCTCCCTCTGCCCCAGTTTATTTTTCTCCCTCCAAGCCTAGGGGGCGCTGTGGCCCTGCCTGCCACTCTCGCAGCCCTGGCAGTCACCTGGCGAGGGCTGAGAGGGAGGAGGGGGTGCTCTTCCCCTGGACGTAGATGGCATGAATCAGGCCCAGGAAGACTGAGCTATGCAGGGGTGAGGGGAAGGTGGGAGCCAGGTGTGGTGAGTGCTGGGAAGGAAGAGTTCAAGCCCAGGAAGCAGGGCCTGCAGAGGAAAAACACCAGCCTGGGGATGAAAAGTCCCGGTTCGAGTCCCAGCTCTGCTGTGCCCTTTCCTCTTTGCCTCTTGGGCAAGACGGCCAAACCTTCTGAGCTTCAGTTTCCCCCTCTGCAACAGGAGGCCCACGCTCCCAACCCTGCCCACCTCTCAGCCTGGATGTGAAGATGAGCTTGGGAGGGGTCAGGGGTCAGGGGTCAGGGCCCTGGCTGGCTCGGGAGTCAGACAGCCCCACAGTCCTCCTTTCAGAGCCCCAGCACTTCCCAGAATGTGACCTTGGGTCAAGACATGTAACCTCCCTGTACTGGGCTCATCTACCAAGTACCAGCTGGGTAGGACTGCTGTGACGATTATGCATATGAAATGGTACAGTGATCTTAAGCAAGTGATTTAACCTCTCTGTGCCTCCACTTCATCATCTATAATGTGAGGACTATAATACGGACTCATAAGATTGGACTTTTTGTTGTTGTTGTTTTTATAAAAACAGGGTCTCACTCTTTTGCCCAGGCTGGAGTACAATGGCATCATCATAGCTCGCAATAACCTCCAACTCCCAGGCTCAAGTGATCCTCCTGCCTCAGCCTCCCGAGTAGCTGGGACTACAGGTGCCACCG